TAGCTTTTCCACAGTGTCGACCTACGAAAGACGTCTTCACGGGTGTAAACACGCATGCGCATTTCAATTCTCCGGTCATTTCCGGACAAGATGATGACCGCGTCCTGCAAAATTTGACTTTGCGTAAGCTCCCTAATCGTGGACAACTTTCATTTCGCAATTGCATTACCGGGCGTAATTAAAATCCCTAGGCGGAATTAGTACACTCGGGGATATCAACATAGAAAAGGATCGTAGATCTTAAAAGAGCGTCACGAACTCTGACAAGGTCGACCTTACTGCTCTAGGGCCGTTATATGAAATCCGGATAGCGCTATTCACCTGATACTGATTTTTCAACTGTTCTTAAAATTTTTGAAGCCCAATACGAACTAACAAGTGTTAAAGAAGATCCTCAATTTATTAATACTAAGATTTGATCAAATTTTAAGGAAAATAAAAAAAAATACCCGGCTTTCATATTACCGGCCCCTGCTGTAAGTGGAGTCAGTCGCCAAACTTTTAATTTTTTGCAACGAAGATACATTCAATTAAATAATATTAAAATTTAGTCATTAAATAGTAAGAATCAACTTCATGCCGGATTCTAATAAGAAATGAAAACCATAGCTCAGTTGGTCAGGTTCAGTTTTAGGATAAATGTTTTTTTTCAGAGCAGTGGTAAAGCGCTAAAAGCTCGCAGAATACAGTGGCAGCCTGCTCATTTTTGATTCGTCGATTGGACTTATCTGGGCTAACTTGTGTGAGGTGGCCGGACTAATTTGCTACTTACTCAGTCCAATGTAGTCCATTTCATGTATTGTGATTAGTATAATTCGTTTCAATTTATCGAACTCATTGGATTGTTAGCGGGGTAGCCTTATGCTTACTGTACATGGACTTTTAACGGGGTCGGGTTGCTTTGTCTTCAGAATTACAGAATCGCAAAATTTATTGAATTAATTTAAATACACCTGCTTTTCTACTTCCAATCTGGTCTTATACGACGGATTACAATTTCGCTGTTGGGATTTTACAACATGTCTAGCACTTGATAAGAGTAGTGAGCCTCTTCATTATAAATTTATCAGTGAAATATATTTCCATCCCAAACTATAGCGTTCAAATTATTTAACTTATTCTCAGCAAGCTTATAAGCTTGCAGCTCTATAAGATAACGAATATTTAGTGAAGTGATTCTTCATCTTTAGTCGGAAATGATTATGTGATGCTATAAACTCGTTCGTCTGCATCTGATTAAAGCATTAACGTAGCAACGGGTATTTATACAAGTTGCATTCAAAAATATGAATTAAAGATGTTTTCAAAAAATGATATGAACTAATGATGTCTTCATCTCAGTGATTTATTTTCCGTCGGTAAAAAGTAAACGACGACTTGTGTCAACTTTACTAATTGAAATTAAAAGAACAGAAGATTCCAGCTATCTTATTTTTTTCGCTCGTGATGGGAAATTATCTTCTAATGTTTACAGTTCTTTAAATATTAACGACGAAATTAGTGATGTGCACGTTTTGTTTGTATTCGTCAAGTCACGAAAAAACCACTTCCCACGTAACTGAATGAATTCGAAACTAACTCGCCAGTAGGGGAGCATGCGAACGATTTTAGCAAAAATTGTATGATTCATTAGTATAAATTGCCGACTTATTCATCACCAGTGGCCGAAATTTTCTAGATTCGTCATGATGACACCATGAAAATAAAAAATTCTAAAACAATTTTTTAATGGTTTCCGTTCTTGGATGGCCCGATCGAAACGAGGAGCCAATCAGAAATGTATGCATGCATGCATGTTATTTTTTCTTATAACAAAAAAATTTTCCCGAAGTAATAAAGAAACTGATAATTCAGTAGATTTTTATACTTTGATCAACTGAATGATTCACGATCTTTTACAAAAATAGCAAACGTAACATGTGTTTATTCTTCGCTGCAGCTGTCGTATGCATTTAGCTGAAGCTTTTTTGTTTTTTCTTTTGGCTATATATATCTATTTTGGCTGTTTACCTTGGTGTTTGTAGCAAATAATACATGTATATTAACTTAAGCAAAAATAGCAGTAAAAGCGAACGATTAATAAGAAAGACATTGCCTTCTCTATTGTTGTAAATTAAATTAATGCTAATGTGAAGCTTCTCTCAAAAATGTGGACGACTAATTTTTTGATTATCAAATCATAATCTTGAAGCCCTTGAGCGAAATTAAAACAAAATCGGAACTCGATCAGGTAGTTCTCGATCCACTATACTACGATTATATCAATTTTTTGAAGTCTTTTAAATATTCAAATCTCTGCATCTGTCCTTTTCGTTGTCTTAAGTTTGTTGGTTTCAGATCGCGTTTTAGAAAAATATCATAACAAATATTTAACTGCAGTTATTGCAGTGACAAAAAGCATGCACCTGCTATGCAATTAAAGCACTGTTATAGATGCCTGGCGCTATTGATTGCAGACAGTGGACTCAACACCGGCGTATCGCTTCCCATGCATTTATATTTCTGCTACAAAATGTTAATTCTAAACGCACTGTTTGTGGTAATTTTACAAATGGTGAACGCACAACCCGCGAGAGATGGCAAACCGTGCACATTGAGGAATTTTAGGCGCACCAGTGAAGGTAGGGGCTTAAATATTTTGCAACTTTCCCAAAGATTTTGCCTTAAATATTATATCCTTTTTCCTGGATGATACTTCCTAGCTGAACTTTCTCAAAGTTTATTCCTGGGCGTTTTAGTTGAAAGTTTGAGCTAAGGAATGCTAGTCGTTGATAAGAAACCACTTATAAAGCTTAGCATTATTTAACGGCATCTTGTTCAAGATGTCCAGGGATGATTTCTGTTCCTAGCGATTGTGTTTACCCCTATTAATTAACATGCACTGAACGACTTTTAGGCTCATGCCTGGTTTTCATATGTCGTAGTTCATCGGCGATGTCTATTGTCGGTGGCTATTGATGCATATAATCCTTTGTCTATCGAAGAAACGTATATACTTCATTGACCACCGACAATAGATCCTAGAACATCGCGGATGAATCATGACATATCAATAAACCAGACTTACACGAATGAAGGTTAAGTTAGGATCATTGTTCCTTATTTATCGATTGGCGGAACATGTCCATCTATATTTCTATTGAAAGATGTTAATTTTAAACTTGTATTATTTTTGATATTTTGCTAACGATTAATTCACAACCTGCGAAAGACGGCAAACTATGTAAAATATCTAAAGATGTCAAGTTTTCATCGGTTTAACCTTAAATGTTTAGTGCAATATTTTCTTGAATGAAAACCTTGTAGCGCGTCGTTAATATTAGCAAAAGCATTCCACTCAGATATTAACAAAACGACTTTTAAGAAAGCTTTATTTAAAATTCATGATGTAAAATACTTAATCATGCATTCAGTTTTTCTTGGGGCTGGCTTTACTGATTCATGAATCATAATACAACAGGACAGTCACATGAATGTGATTGGTAAATGCATCTTCTTCATCTAAATTACACGCATAAAGTTAAAGATTTTTCCGCAGAAATAAGGCAGAAACATACGATTACAGAGATCTAAACGGGAACGTTGCGAAAATGAAATTTTACTAATCGCACTATAGTGACACCTTTTACAAATCGCACTACTACCCGACAATGTTACATACGCAATTTACACCTTTTCCCACACAAGACGTTCTCCATAGCTTAGTGGGCTGACTTTTAAACTTAGATTCAGTTAGAATCCGAGAAACTAAAATTATTCACGATCTTTTAAAATATAGCAAATATATGTGTACTTCAGTGCATTGAAGGCGTCAAACGCTGCAGCTGTTACATGCATGCATTTAACTAAAGCATTTTACATGCAACTACGCAGTTGACAGTTTAATTGACGTTTTTCGATCTTTTACTTTTGACGTTGAAAGGATTTAAGTTACAAGTAATTCTTGACGGTATTTGTAGCATCATATCACTAATACTAAGGAAATATAAAAGTTAACGCAATCGATTAGAAAGACCTAAGACAGGAAATTAAGGAAAGAAGATTCTTACTCACTAATTTATATATTCACAGACTATATAGTTTTCCAAAATGAAAGGTAGCACTTGAGCCAAAAAGAAAATCAAACGATAAAGGAAAATAAAAGAAGTTTGTTTCGTCACATACCTTATTTAATGAGAATTAAAACGGATAACGATATATATAAAGATGGCTGGCCTATTATACACCGCATGGAAGTTTCAACGCATGAAGTATAAGTGGGAAAGTGTATTTGATGCTAAATATTATTTATTAGATGAAGAATATTTATTGAAATGATTCTCGATATTCGATGCAAACATCGCAAATAAGTGTTGAACATGCACATTCGTCTCCAGGTGGCTAAAGAATTAACGTGGGTTGTTACAAATTGCATTCAAAGAAAATAATATGAATTAATGATTTTTTAACTGAAACTATATGAATCAATCGCTGATGTCTTGATCTCAGTGATTATTTCTCCAACAGTAAAAAGTTATCTTCATCCGAAAAATATTGTCTGATGTTTATAGTTATTTAAATTTTAATGTCATAATTGATGCTGTGCTCGTTTTGTTTGTATTGGTCAAGTCACGGAAGGAACAATCGCCTGCACGAAGCTATATATATATATATATATATATATATATATATATATTATATATATATATATACACCCGTTTGCAAAAACGTTGTTATCCTAGTACAGGGGAAAACGGACTTTTACTCAATATGATAAAGGTGAATGATTAATATAGAATGCAAATTTATCAACCTCAACGGTCTGTATTTTACTTGCAGGAAATCAAGCACTGCGACTATCCGATCTTATATCAAAACATACCATTAATAGTTTAGCAGAGTGCCACATTCTCTGTAATAGTAAAAAAAATTGCTATGGTTACAACTACAGACAGAAACAAAGCAACCTTTATACAAACTGTCAATTGAGCAACAGCACGGTGAAGATGAACAAAAAAAAAATGAAGAATGGGCCATGGGTTTTTTACAAAGACGTTTTGGTAAGAACCGTATTATTCATTTGCATTGTCTTATTAAAGTGTTTGGGTACAAACAAAAACACAAAGGGTATACCTAGACTTTTTACATTTCAATTTGTAGCGAGCGAAAACACATTCACTTAAAGCATAGAATGCAGAAATGATGTGTCCACAATTCCACGAAAATTAGATTATATTGTGAAAGTCAAGGTATACCCTTTCGAGTGCAATCACTGCATAAATTTATTATTCGAAAAACAACATTCGACGTTTACTCGTATAGTGCTTGTTTATATAAATTATTTCTGGTGTTTTGATGTTTTGAAGATTTAGTTATAGTGTTCAAGTATTACCTTTCGCCTAAACCGCGAAAGTCTATAACTGCATGAGTCGTGTGGTTTCACTTCACCTTTACGACTTTGTTTGTTTGGAACAAACACGGTCGTAAAGTTGGAGTGAAAAAATTGGAAACGTCATTCATCATCAGCTACATAAATAATTATAATACAGGCTTTACAATTAAGTCATTTGAAAATGATTATATACTTAGGAGGTTAAGTCTGGCAAGCTGAGGAAATATTTTTCTTCGTTTGAAATAGCAAGGGATTGCTGCACCCAGTGGCATAGCATGCAAGCCCGACGAGTTAGTCATGCTACACAAATTTTATGTTATTATCATTATTCAGTTCTTTAGCAGGCAGTAGTTTTCCCAGTCAATCGACACCAAAATATTAGCATAGCACGCGCTACGTCGCTGTATCCAGCTAATTTGTATAGAGGTAGCTAATGAGAAACCATGCAGAAAGTCATTAAAATCGACTTCTTTACTTAAAAATTTTTGAGTGCATTTTCTACACTGATACTTTAACTTCTCCGTTATTTTATTTAAACTTATAAATGGTGCCTTCGCCACATAATGAAATTTCTTATGGCAAACAATGATTAGAACATTTTAGCACTCAAAAATTTGTAGAAATTGTATGTTTTCTTAATCTCACTCACTCCGAAACCTAACCATAACTCATTTGAAATGTTCTGCAACAAAGGTTGAAGTAATATACAGTACTGCTCAGAAGTAACCTAATGCGACGAACGCGTTCAGAACGCGTTCCCGAACGCGTTCAGAACGGGTTCCCCTAACGCGTTCCGAACGCGTTCCGAAATGCGTTCCGAACGCGTTCCAGAACGTGTTCTGAACGTGTTCTGAACGCGTTCCCGAACGCGTTCCGAACGCGTTTCAGTATTTTCACTTAGACGCTTCGTGTGCCTTCGGAAATTCCGAATAAATTATCGCGTAAAAATAAGCGCATGTGTAACTTGTGTATCTCATTCGAAAATGATACTAATATGTATGTAGCATCTTAAGAAATTCGGACTGTGAACTTACCATGATCTTTTTCTTTCTCATGTAGGTAATAGAAGGTAAGCCAAAAATAAATACGCATTTACAATTCTGGTTCGCAGGTAATCCCATGAAATGTACAAATAGTTCCAAATGGCAAGCTAGCCCCTTTTTAGAGCTTATAATATTCCGATTCATGCCTTATCTAATTAAGGTTGAAATATTTTGATGTGCTGCATTGTAAGCACATTACTAAGCACATAACAAAGCAAATAATTTTGTTTTTTTTTCAATTGCAATACTTTGTATAATATACTAAAGTATAAAAGTTAGCTATCCTTCTTTGGCAATGCTACTTACATAGTTTTAAAACACCATACAAATTAAAAACCTATATGCAAATGCTAGAAATGCAGTCTAGATACGCCAATAAAAACATGTGGTGATTAACTCGCTTTACATTAATCTGGATTGCAAAACAAAAGCATGTTCGATGAACTGTTCCACGAAAAAGCCCGTTGTTGCTTACTGGTGAAAGTATTTCTCTGGTATCGCAACCAGTCCTATAATATAGGACATAATACTTATGTTAATTAATGATTATATTGGAAATCTAGTTTCGGCCTTGAGTGTATAGTAGAATAGGATTACAAAAATAACTGCAATGCAATTAAAGTATGTATTTCAGATGTCGATGAATGTGAAAAAGGAACGCACAAATGTGACAAAAATGCAAATTGCACCAACACTCCAGGTTCATTCAACTGCCAGTGTCAACGTGGTTACACAGGAGAAGGACGGAAATGCGAAGGTATGATTACACCACCCAATAACGTGTTATGATCGGGGGTGATCGATTTTCATCGTTATTTTTGTTCTAAATAATATGAATATGTACACATAAAAAATTCTATTTCAGATGTTTATGAGTGTGCGTCTTGTTCCCTTGAAGGCAATATATGATGTCTTAAAAATGTAGAACTCACGCAAAATAATTTTCTGCCATTTATGCTGTTAATTTGTCTCTTAAAAGCCCCCTTTTTCTGAAGTAGCTATTCCAGGCAATAAATCAGTATTGAGCGCAATTGCTGCTTCCCTTAGAAGGCAACGCAATATTCTTGACATTATTGAAGATTCGCGATGTTTGTTCGCAGTTTTGCGAACATAAAATTAATATTGTACGCAGTCCACCGCCGTTATCTAAATGCGGCAATGATCTCGATCATTTGGAAGTTCGCGATGTTTGTTTACAGTGTTGCGCAATACATACCTTAACAAGAAGGACACCAATGCGACAACGACGGCAAGAACAAACTGCTTGAAATAAATAGCTGGAAGAAAACTTGTCATGTATTGTATTATAACTTTATAAGAATTCAATACAGCATATCGGGAGTTGAAAATATGGCTTTTTTGCTCGTAACCGGATTCAACTGAAGTGAATTTAAAGCAGCACTGTGCAGCCTGAGATATAGGCGTCGTACACACGAGGTGAAAATTTGTGTTTGTCGTTGTAAACTGAGCCATGCAGTATTGTGTCCAAATTATTGATTTTAATAACTTTCATAAACTTTAATCATTGTGTTGATGGCCGTTGTCGTCGTGCGTCGTCGTCGTAAGGTCTTTATTGAGCTGTAAGCTCGACTATCGATTCAAAAATAACTAAAGGGCACTTAAGAGACTGCATACCTCCGCCCGTGTTACTGAGCCATAATACACGTCCTTAATAATTTGCACCTCATTACGCGTTCAGTGAGTTTTTCTTAATTAACCGGGAAAAGCAAAAAAAAAAATTTTAATTTTTCGTTCAATTTTTAACTAAATTCAACCATATTTTAATCACTTCTTCCTTTGCCGATGGGCAATGCATTCCTAAAATTTTGTACGAATACGTTTGGTATTTTTTGAGTTATCGTGCTCACAGACAAACACCCACACAATACACACACAATACGCACACAAAATTACAGCTTTGCACATGTAATAATGTTTCCATATACCCTACACTTCATAAAATTCTTCTAACAACCAAATGAAATGTAAAGAAAAAACGATTTTGCATATAATTTTTGGACGCAGTGTAGTCGGGTGTATACTAAAACTGGATAGAAACACGGAAAATGTTTTCTATTTCTTAATTATTATGCATGCAGAGATTGAAAAATGTTCCCCGGGACACACCTATGTCATGTGAATGCTATATGCGGCAGCGTTATAAGGGCCTTCAGGTCGAAACGTCGAGAAGTGTTTTAGGCAGTTGTTATACCACATTTGATGCTAATTTTCAAAATTATTTACTCTTTTTGGAGTACATTTTTATATATTGCAAAGCTTACATGGATTGGTTTCTGTACTTGTGTAAATGCATACACTTTCATAATCATATGTTACATCATTTTCAGCTACAAGTTGTCTCAACTTGTACCACAGCGGGAAGAGATCTGATGGAATTTACACAATCAATCCGGATGGTAAGAGTTCTTTTCAGGTCTGGTGTGATATGACAACTAATGGAGGAGGATGGACGATGTTTCAAAGAAGACAAAATGCAAGTGTGGATTTTTTTCGTGGTTGGTTAGAATATAAAACAGGATTTGGATCTTTAAACGGAAATTTTTGGCTTGGTTTGGAAAAAATTCATCGCATGACAAAAGCTGGAAAAAAGAATTTAAGAATCGACCTGACAGACTTTGATGATTCAACAGCTTTTGCTCTTTATTCCACATTTTCTGTGGCCTCTGAGTCTGAAGGTTATAAGTTGAACATCGGTGGGTTTTCCTCGAAGAGTAAGTAAATTTTAGTACACTCTAAAATGCCGAAGTGTCCAGCAAGCACCGAATAAGTGTAAATACACACAATAATTTTGGTGTAACTCAGTATACATCCACAAAGTGCAAATATATGTTTCATATATGAAAATTAATGCATTTTGCTTAAAAATGAATTTTATAGAAATAAAACCAAGGTTTATGTCGGTTTGTACGCATTTCACTTACGCGTGAACACGATCTTTACTGTTTTTAGTTTTACTAACACGGTGCCGGACTTTAAACCCAGCTAATAAATTGGTGGGATTTTTTTGGCTTACAAACTATAGAGAGCAAGCAAGCATGGAAGCGACGTTTTGACAACACGGACGTCACGCGTACTTTACAGAAAATTATTGCGTCAGCAGCCCGTGCTTGAAATCCAGAACGACAGTGGGAAGGATTTCACCACAGAGTAATTGGGTGGAAACCAAAAATAGGGGTCAATTAACATTAGGTTTGGCTCATGAAGGACGCTACTTTTCAGGCAGGAGATTAATTCGGCACTGGTTTCTTCTGGATACAGCTGGTTAATTATCTTTTAATATAATTTCAGGTAATGCTGGCGATTCTTTGACATCTATGCATAACGGAATGAAGTTCTCTACCAAGGATCAAGATAATGATTGGTATAGTGGTAGCTGTGCTGTGTATTGGAAAGGTGCTTGGTGGTATAACAAATGTCATGATTCCCACCTCAACGGCCAATACCTCAACGCAGGTGACAGATCTTGGAGTGGCATCAACTGGGTTAACTGGAAAAAGGATACGAGATCTATGAAAAAAGCTGAGATGAAAATCCGCTGACCTCAATTTTTGAACTGACATGGTTGCAACATTTATCTAGTACTGAAACTACTCACTATATCTTATAATGTTCGTAATTATTTAGACATCTGAAACATATATCATAAATTCTTACTTCCTATGCTATCCTTTTGGAAGAGAATAATTTTATTTCCCTGTCGTTTTTTATCTTACACAGTGGAATATAAAGCCACTGGAATATAGAGCTAGCTAGTCTGTTATAGTCAATGAAGAAATGCATGTGCCAACACGCACACACAAAGTATCTTCAAGGAAATTGAATATTTCTAACTTATATATTTACCTATCTCTGTCAGATGTGTCAAATATATTAATAATTTTATAAACTAAATAGGCTAAAATTAAGCTGTTTAAGCCACTAAGGTATATAATATAATGATATGTATAAAAAATTGATAGTAAAATCACTAAATAGTCTCGTGTTGTCTATCCTAATGTCATGACAAATGATACAGTAGATTACTGCGTACAGCGTCTGACGACGTTGCATCTAATAATTATGGTGTAACAAGGAGTTGTGGGTTCCTACTACAGATCCAAATTGCCTTCGCATTAGTGTATTTTTTAAAATGTTTTTGAAAATCCATAACCAATGACCCTGTTAATAACGTATTTTTAATTCAAAATTTATTCCACTAGATAACAAGTACCTAAAATTTCGAAAATACTTCGACATTTCGACCAATTGGTCTTCGTTAGAAAATTTAGTAAGAAAAGAAATTCCAGAGCATACGTTTGACATCAAAACACGTGGTAAAATAAACCAACGTAAAACAAAAAAAAAAAAAGTTATAATACCATGTTCCGTTGCCCTAGAGTTTTAACGCCTGAATTGCAGGCTAGACAACCAGCAAACAAGGAGGACTGATTTGGCGAAGGAATCATATTGCAATGTGTTTTGTTGTAAACCATATTATAGCATGTAATTCATGTATTTGCAAAGGGTGAACTGAAGTCAAATAAATATAAAGGTAGTAATTCATCTATAAGATGAAGAGTGCAAAGACTGTGAATGAGTCATATTTCAAATTAGTGTAAATGCATGCGACACTCGTCAGTCACAAATTTCTCTGGTTTTTATGCCTCGCATATTTTTAGAGAATATTTTATTCTAATTAAGTCTCTATTATTTTACATTCGATAAGCAAGATTTAACAATTATTCACAAAAGGTGAGGAAGTATCGCTGGATATACATTTGCATAGAGTCGAGGCGACTACGTCACACTCAGTTAAGAGTGTCTTGTTTCACTATTCTTAAAAACGATTTAAGTTCTACTCATGCTGATATTTTCTCATGCACAAAATTTTATTAATTGTTCTACGAACAACTGATAAAACCGCGAATACTGTGAATGATTGACACGTTTGAATAAACGATCACAATAATATACAAAATGTACTAGAGTATAATGCATGGTTCTAGGCAAAAACCACAATCATATTCCACATAATTTTTATATAATTATCATTCTGGTCATTTTCATTGACACAAACCATTGTCGATTTACTCAGCGTGTATTTGGACACGTTGGAAAATATCACAAGTGTAATTTTAATGTTCAATATAAATCTTTTCAGTTTTCTTTTGCCACGCTTCATTGGTGATTGGTTTGGCAAATAACAATGAGCATTGAATGAAATCAAATAACACTATCACTGTTCAAGAAGCAAAGACAGATTTTAAGTTTCTGTTATTGTATTCCTTTTGCAACAGTACAGTCGAGAAAAATTTTTTTATAGTTTGGTAAGCGTAGTACATACACCAAAGGATTGACAGCAAAGTTGATGTGGAATATTCCAGAAGATATCATCACTAAACAATTTTTGAAACACCTTCATGTGAAAGAATATCGTCGAAGGCACAACACAAATCACTTGAATACACGCCACATTAATAATTGTTCTCAAAAATTGTTTTTGCTGCATAATTCGCATCCGTTGCTGTCGATTTGTAATGTTCTCTAGAACAAAATTTTTTGACTGTTTTTTTAACTTGTGGTACGTTAACCTGTACATCACACTTGCAAACAAACCTGGCAAAATCTGGGTAAGAATCCTTATGTGTGTTTTCACGTCAGTTACTATAGCAAACACAAAGTTTTTTATTGGAAATGCCGAACCAAAGAGCCAACACAAGCCAACCACACGAATATATTTTTCCTTTCGTCAAAGCTCTATGTTTGAAAGGACACAGAACCAAGAAAAAGCGATCAAGCGAAATTGACGCTATTGTTAAAATAGATACATTCATGGAAGAGAAAACAACGAGCTGCCTCAGCCTTTCCCAGAGCCAGTTTTTCGGTATGCAACATTTTGTCGGAGTTATGAGACAGACCAGGAAGTCTGAAGCAGCTAAATTTACAACAAGATATGTTCCTGAATTCTTGAAGCATTTTAGAGGATCTTTGATGAAAGCAATAATGAGAAAAGCATGTAATATTACACCAACAATACAAACACATAAGGACAGCATGTCCAAATAACATAATTATCTTAAAACCAGCGAATTTTTCCACTGCAATGATCTATAAAGTTATTAAAGTAGCTCTTCGTAGTATGCATTAAATACTTCGTATTGAGTTTATTAAACATACGTTTTCATTTAGAGCAACTTGTTTCATTTTAAATTAAAACGCTTCATAAACCGTTTAAATATCGAAAGACCTATACATACCACAATAATGATAACACATGTAAAATTTAATGAAAAAGATGCTAAACCACCAATCAGAACCATCTTGCTACAAATAGAACAAAATTTATGTTGTTTATTATTGACATGCATGTAGCTATTGTAGGGTGCTGAATTAAAAGTGCTACTAAGATCTATAAGTTCTTTACTTTAGCTATTATATACGCATATATATATATATATATATATATATATATATATATATATATATATATATGTATATATATATATATATATATATATATATATATATATATATATTATATATATTATATATATACAGGGTGTATCAAAAAAAAGGTAATCCAACTTTGGTGCGCTATTGTACGTGAACTACTCATTCTATTAACGAATTTTTTTCACATTCCAAAAGTTTAGGCTTTTAACTATCGAATAACATGTTTTTGATACCAAATGGTGAAAAAATGAGCAAATAGGAGGCCGATAAAAAGTGTTAGTCAAAATCGCATATTTTCACCTCTGAGAGTTGGGACTAAAACCATTGAAAATTAACTCTCTTTGGGATTAATTGAAGAATTTTGCTTTTGAATAAACTAACCGCATATGCATATTAAGTAGGAATAAATCACATCAGGAGAACATTCCAAGCAATGCGGCATAAAACCAGTGTAAGCTGTGACATGTTCGTGATTAATTGCTCTTTTCTTTTGTTATGCACTGCTTTAATTATAGGCTCAAAGGTGAAAATATGCGATTGCGACTAACATTTTTTATCAGCCTCGTATGTGCTCACTTTTTCACCATTTCGTATTAAAAACATGTCATCCGATAGTTAAAATCCTGATCTTTCCGAAAGTGAAAAAAATTCGTTCATAGACTGAGTAGTTCACGTACAATAGCGTGTTGAAGTTGGATTACCTTTTTTTTGATACACCCTGTATAGTCGTTATCATTAAGGTTGTCCATGTCAATATATACACAAATATATAAATATCAATCACGTGACCATTAAACATGGCTTATTTTGTTCACTTACCTCTTGTTTCTTTATTATTATTAATATTGTTCATCTTACCAGTTACCATGACATTCAAGAAATTATTAAGTTAGATTTCCAACGATTTCCCGTAAAATTAACGTACAGTACAATCACGTGATCGATATTTAGGTATTTATATATATTTCCAGGTGACAACCTTAATGATAACGACTGTATATATATATATATATATATAAAATAGTTAAAACTGTTAAAACGAGAAATCCATATATATAAAATACTAAAATATAAACTAAACACCGTCAGTAACTCGGAGTTTCACGCTCAAAGGCGATCATCAGACTAAATAAAGGCAGGCGTCTACGCCGGCTTATAATTACTTGCATAAAATTTGTTTTCATGTCTACACTTAGAAATTAATTCAGATCTTTTGTTTAAAAGGGTGCCTTTGTTAGCGTTTATAATACAGAGCTTCTCCGTCAAACACAGGGCGCATTGATTCGATCCAGCAGTGTATGCCTTTGCTCGTTTCAAAATGGACCATTTGATAGAATATTCAACATCCAATTTCTTTAACTTCCAGACGTACTTAGACAATGCAGTAGAGTTTTCACATTTTGCATGTTTAAATGATTGCTTGTGGACATTGTACCTTGTTTTGAATTCATGTTCAGTCATGCCGATATAGTGCTTTGTTTCGTGGCCATTTGCTATTATATCTGCTTTGTAGACAATACTCTTGGTCAGGCATGCACCACTTAAGGGGCATTCCGTCTTAACTCTGCAGTTGCAGTTTCTTTCAGGCAAATTCGGCTTACGGTTAAGGATTGTGTTATTGTGTCGTCTTATGATGCATGCCATATTATCCATACAACTGTAGCTGACTTTCACATTCTTTCTGTTAAAAATCTTGCTTAATTTATGCTTGCCAGGAAAATGCTTATCGATTAAACGTAAAAAGCGACCAGCGACGTTACACTTCACATTACGGCTGTACGGTGGGTTAAACCAGGTCACCTTTCGGGTTCTTTTCTTTTTCTCCTTGTATTGCTGGCTGTTGCTGCGGTTTAAATTGCTATATTTGATTGGTGATGTAAAACCACAAATATAGCGTTTAATCGATAAGCATTTTCCTGGCAAGCATAAATTAAGCAAGATTTTTAACAGAAAGAATGTGAAAGTCAGCTACAGTTGTATGGATAATATGGCATGCATCATAAGACGACACAATAACACAATCCTTAACCGTAAGCCGAATTTGCCTGAAAGAAACTGCAACTGCAGAGTTAAGACGGAATGCCCCTTAAGTGGTGCATGCCTGACC